TGGACTTTTCTAAACCATGCTTTCTGGTCTGGCCATTCTGTATTAGACCAGCCCTGGGATTCTCAGTCTCCTGCTGTGGAGCTAAACAGCTTCACAGTGTCACATGCTTGCTGGCTGCACCCTGTGGTTTGTGCTTTTCCAGTTCACCGCAGATGTTGGCTACCCTATAAAATTAGAACTACCTGTGAGGTGAATTATTAACTTCTACAGCTGAGCAGAAATTGTGTTGATTTGATTTACTGTTTTCTATTTTGTCTATTGATTTTCAGGTAGTCCCAAGAGTGCACTCCCATAAAAGGCCATGCAGAACTTTGTACTCAGTTTAACAATTTTATTTACAAAGGATGTTCTTGCCTCCATGTCCCCTTGCCAAGTTACTCCAGGCATGAAGAACTAAATTTAATTTCTATGATTAATAGAGCACAAAGAAGATATATATTACACAGCTCTCTCCCTGCTTTGTTATTTGGGATGCCAAAATTGCAGTACGCTGTTTGGGAACAGCTAGGAAGTGGGAGAGTTCCCACCTGACACATCTTAGCTGTTAAAAGGCAAAAAGAACACAGATGGTTGAAACCAGATTTCTGTATAAAATGAGCAACCAGTTTTCACCTGCACATCTAAGCAGGTAAGTTTTTTGTAAGTACCAGTACAAAAGCAGGCCTCTGAAAATGCTTCTGAGAAATGTGTTTTCAGATGTTACAGCCACTGACAAGAGATACCACACCGGATACTCAGGACTCACAGCTTCTATACAGGAGAGACTGTATAAGGAAGGCTGCTATGGACTCAGATTTTATAGTGTGGTATTGCCTTTTGAAAGGCAGATACTGAAAATGGACAGGCTCTCAAGTGAAAAAACGATAACTCCTCTCTCTGTCCTATCACTTACAGGAAGACCTAGCATGTCTAGAGGGCAAGCAGAGCATATTTCAAGGGTAGCATTGTTACCCCAAGATGTTTTACAGGGTTTATCACTATCATTCTCCCCATCATAACAGGAAAAAAAATCACACAACTTATTAGCAAGCCTTAAAAAAACCACCCAACTTCCTTGCTTTGTGCATTCCTCATTTGTGGTAACTCAAATCCCAGAACTGTATCTGCACTCAGTGAAGAGTGGGAGTTTACCTTTCCCATTACTGAGTAGTCTAGTTCTCTTTCCTTGGAAACCAAGGTGATCTTTTGGAAAATTTAAGGAAGCCCAGGTGAACTTCTGTAAATATGTCTTGGGATATTAATGCCTGGCTGACCATACTCCTGGTCTAACTCTCCTGGCATTTCCCAACAGCAGTCTGTTTATCTTCTAAGCAGCAGATTACCTGTTCTTTC